GGGGCAATGAGAATGGCCACCCCAGCTCGCCGCCTTTCCCCGCGGGAAACACCAGAAAAGTGGAGCGTCCAACCCCTCTCAAGGAGTTGGGTTCTAGAGCCCAAGCTGTGTGTGGAGGTGAGGCCGACTATCTCTAGTCGGTATCGCTCAACCTCCCCCATGAGCTCGGGCTCCTCCCCCCCCAGTGAGGTGACGTTCCACGTCCCAAGAGCCAAATGTTGCGTGTGCGGACTGGGTCGCCGAGGTCTCCGCCTTGGACTGCCGCCCAGTCCTCTCAGCACCGCTTCGCCACCACGGACCCCTCTGCAGGTGGTGGGCCCACAGGAGGGACTGCCCACGTCATCCCTTCGGGCTGAGCCATGCCGGGCGACGTCACTTGTCTATTTATTGTGCTGTCCATGGTGGTTTTTGGACCGCTCTTCGTCTGCCTCGTCACCTGAGACCTGTCTGCCATGGGAGACCCTACCAGGAGCATGAAGCCCCAGACAGCATAGCTTCCAGGATCATCCGAGTACTCAAACTCCCCCACCACGTTAAGGTGGCAGTCCAGGGGGGGAGCCCCCTGGATAAATGCCCTAAATACTAGGGCATTTATTGGAGTTATTAAGGTATTTTTTTGATTGTCACTATTTTTGTATTGTTATAGAAATGTTTATTTTTGTTATAGGCGTCATTACATCAACATATCAATCCATCATCTATTATTGGAAAAGAGATAAATGAATCCTGGTTGAAGTATTGGTGCTGACGGTAGCTAGAGATTACAATTTGAGCATGTTCACAGAACTCACAGAACTCAAAGTACAGGGTAGGCAGGGGGGCTCTGCTGCTGGAGGAACCCTCTGGCAGAGGACCCCCACATATTGTCTCTTTTAATGCACAGATTAGGACACGTAGCAAAGATCTGCAGGCTGCCTTTCCTGGAGGCTGCTCCCTCTGGAGGCCGATCTGTGGACGCAGAGACTCCCTTCATAAATAACACACCATCTAAATACAAGCTTGCTCCCATCAGCACCAATGATCACATTTAACTCACATATAACACTAGTAATTAGTAATACATTTATTAAATAGTAAATACAATATTCTATAATCCTATTTAATTGATATACATGATAATGAAAATTATAAACATGAAAATTATATGGATATTTGGTGATGATGATGACGTTATGACTAGTGTGACACTTAATGGCATATAAGATATTAAGGAAACAAAAATGTAAACATATTATACATATACTGTATAAATCATCCATCCATCCATCTTCTTCCCCTTAATCCATTTCTGGGTCGGGGGGGTGGCAGTCAGAGCTGCACCCAGTACACATAGCACCAGCCCCTCACTGATCCTCCTGCAGGTGGTGAGTCCACAGGAGCTGAGATCTTTCAGTGGGAGCTTCAGGCAAAGTGGGGTTAAGTGTCTTGCCCAAGGACACAACAACAGCAGTCATCAGTGGGAGTTGTGTAAATCAAGTGCATATTATTTTGACTGTCGCTGTTGCATAACTGCAAATATACCACTGACTAAGCTAAGCTGTAGCAACCACATAATTAAAGTTCAATTACATTAGAATAATAAATACGGGGTGGGAGATTAAAAGTCTTCACTTCTTCCCACTCCTTTTCGAGCTGACTTTTTGTTAATAAAACAGCATACTGTATATGTATTGTGTTGGTTTTTTTGTTTTTTATTCTGTTGTTGTTTTGTTGTTGTTCTTTGTTCTTGTCTGCCATGGCTCAAAATAAAAGTATTCATTCATTCATTCTTTTATTCATATACTGTATGCATGAAACAAACCGTGGGGAGAATAGAATTGAGCACAATTTATGAACACTGACAAAAGCCGGATTGGTCAACATCCTTCTCGAGTTGAATCCAAGGCAATCAAACATTGCGCATAAAGGTCACTAACAATTTTGCCATTTCAAAAAAAAAAAATTGTGTTCAGATCATTGAAGTACAGAACAGTGTCTACAGTTGAAGAAGATGATAAAGTCTGGGATTGCGTCTTTAATTCAGACAGAAGACAATGTTTTATTGTCGATGGTAGAGACAGCACGAACAACACGAACACAGATACAACAGAATGCAAGTGTATTATACAGAGCGGAGGCATGGAGACCTCCAATCAGCAGCTGCCACGGTGCCATGTAGCTTGGCCTTCAGATAGACAAAACATGAAGTGGAAAAGTACAGGCTTCTGCACATTGATAGAATGATGAGTTTAACTTTAACAAAAGTTGCTTAAAAGTGCAATGAAATCTCACACAGTCTTCAAACATGTAGCAGCAGAGGGCAGTAATATCCTGCACACAGCTCCACACAATCCACAGCTCTAACCCTAACCCAGAACAAGAGGAACAGCACAAAGCACAGAATCTTTACACAAAGAGAACTTCTGGTGTGCAGAAAAAAACTAGAGCGTGCACTCAATGGGTCCCATCTCCAGAAAAAAACTTCAGATCAATCCGTCCAGTCATTTTTGCATAATCCTGTCAACCGGCAAACAGACACACGGTGACAATCACACTGCCTCTGTGCAGGATAATTATGTTGGCAAGGAGAGTGTATATGTTTCAGTGTATTGTATCTCCTGCAGTTATCACATTCATTTACAAACATTCATCAATGTTGGATCTTTTTAGTCAGTCCCCCATCACTGGCTGTAAGGGGCTGATTCTGTATAAGGCAGAAAACACATAAAAGCATCTCAGGTTTAAGGCTTTTAATTAGCCACAAATATCCAAGTATATAAACTGACTCTCTTTATAAGGCTTAGCAGGTTCACTATTCGTATCCATGAGGTAGTAACGTATTTCAGTGATTTGTATAAAATAACATCAGTTAAAGTGAGAAAAACTACACATTGACAAAATATTTACTGTAAATTATTTTATATAAATTCCAACCCTTTAATGCATGCTAGTTCTTTAAACGTTATTTTATAGTTTGTGTTCCTAAAAAGACATAAGATACAAACCTATGCATTGCTATAGTTAAACATCTTACTGTTCATTCTGCTCGTTTTTAAAAGTATATCCTTTACCAAAAGTGTCCTGCTGATGCAAAAAGAACAAAAAAAGTATTATAATGTATACGTTTCTTGTTGCAATGGATGACTGAGCTGTCCATGGTAGCATTTGCAGACCGCAGATGCCACCAGCAGAGGGAGCCATTGTCCTAACATCATATGTGCATGTGGAAACGTGTAACCTTCCTCAAATGTCCGAGATAAAATGTAGAAGTATTTTTGGAATAACCACGGCTCGTGCATGCGAGATGAGCACGCGCACCTACCTCTTGTTGCTAGGTGGCGTTGCTAAGGCCTGTGCATCTTTTGAATCACTGCATCCGTGCAAAACTTTGGCTGAGACACAAACTCATTTTGTCAAACTTTACTCGACGATTTCTTCAAACAGGAGACATCACTGCAGACCATTTCCACCCAGACTGCTGCTGACCCACTCCTGACCACAACTACAAGACTTTTCTGAGGAAAAAACGTGAGCTTTTCCACTTTCCCGGTTCACCTTAGTCCCTATGGGTTTGGCCTGTGTTACTCACACACAGACTGTAGCAAAATATAGCAACAACAGAAAACAAAGATCATTTTGATCCGTGTCTAAAGCAGGTTTACAGAGAGATTAGGCTGAGTATATTCATCATAATAAGTGTTACATGAAAAGTCCTCAAGCTACATGAAAGCTGTGCCTTAAACATGTTGAGGTTGAGTCTAAAGTGACAAACCCACATGACAGACAGGTTTGTGCTTCATCTAAACGTCTTCATCAGCCGCAGCAGTGATGTATCTACTGTTGTCTCTGAGAACATTTCAGACAGTTCAATCAAACAAATATTCTGCACATGTAGATTATGATCCATGTGATTTTGAACAAGTCTGTTCTTGAGAAGATGTACTCAGCCTGGCAGACCTGCCGTATTCAGTCCAAATGGTTCTTGAACATCTACAAGCGTGACTTTCAAACCACAAACAAAGAACTCTGCAAATACATTCTTCTAACTGGTCCTCGCTCTTACACACTTTGGTTCTATCACTAGTTTTCACACGTCTGTGTTTTTGACTTCACAAAAGTGAATAAGACCATCCTCTTTCAGCCAATCAGCCCAAAAGCATCAAATAACCACTCACAGAGCACTTTCTATACAAAGATGAAATGTTTACTAATCATTGACTTTGAACAGACTTTATCTGTTGAGACAAACTAAATGTAACATTTATAACAAAAGAAAACACATCTATTTGAAACTTGAAGACATGTCATTCTTCCAAAGACCTGATCCACCTGTATCCACGATCTTTACTCTAATCAGCTGATATGAACCATGATGCAACATTGTCCTGGTCCAAAACAGACCTGCAGTGGTTTTTAGATCCATCCACGCTGGTATCCTGAACCTCTGGCACAAACATGTAACCCCGCCCCTTCTGTGTGAAAGCTCCTGTCTCAGTCCTGTAATAGTCTGATGTCATAGTAGCACTGAGACAGCGAGCTCGTGTGATCGGTGATTGACAGTGAGGCAGAGCAGATATTGGATCAATACATTTTTAATTGGTTTAAACATTTCCCAAAACACGATTCATGGCCACAAATAATGCATCATGTTTTATCTTTATCTCACGTCAACTTCAAATGAAGCAGCATCAGTGATGTCACATGTTCCTCCTCCACAGATCCTGTGCTCCTCCTCTATCAGGCCTCCACACCTCCTGCTGAGGAATCCATCAGGCCTCCTCACCTCCTGCTGAGGACTCCATCAGGCCTCCTCACCTCCTGCTGAGGACTCCATCAGGTCTCCACACCTCCTGCTGAGGACTCCATCAGGCCTCCTCACCTCCTGCTGAGGACTCCATCAGGCCTCCTCACCTCCTGCTGAGGACTCCATCAGGCCTCCTCACCTCCTGCTGAGGACTCCATCAGGCCTCCACACCTCCTGCTGAGGACTCTGCTTTTAAGCTAAGTCTCTCGCTCACACGATGCCTGGCAGCTCTGCCAAGTTTCCTCGTTCTGGGAGGATCTCTCTCTACTCTTCTTCCTCTCTCCTCCCTCGCCCTTCTGCTCCTCCTCCTCCTACGCCTTCCTCTGTACCTCCTGCTGCTCCGCGTCCTTCTGCTCCTCCTGCTAAGCGCTCTAAGCTTTCCTCTGCCTCTTCTCGTAAGCAACGTAAGCTTACCTCTGTTCCTCTCGCTTGGCGCTCCTCTGCTCCTCCTGCTTGGCGCTTCTCTGCTCCTCCTACTTGGCGCTTAGCTGGTCCTCCAGCTAAGTCTTCCTCTGCTCCTCCTGCTCCTCCTGCTAAGCCTTGCTCTGCTCCTCCTGCTCCGCGCCCCTCTGCTCCTCTTGCTCCTCCTGCTAAGCGCCCTAAGCTTTCCTCTGCTCCTTCTGCTCCCCGCCCCTATGCTCCTCCTGCTAAGCTTTCCTCTGCTCCTTCTACTTGGCGCCCTTCTGCTCCTCCTGCCAAGTCTTCCTCTGTTCCTCCTGCCTCCTGCTCCTCTGGTCCTCCTGCTCAGCCCTCTGCTCCTCTTCCTCCCCCTGAGTCTCCTCCTCACTTTCGTAAGTGCAAACGAAAGTCTTCTCCTCCTCGTGCTCCTCCTGCTGACGCTGCTAGCCTGTTACGCGTTAAACTAGCCCCTGTTGTTTCGCAGCCGGAGCCTGCCCCGCTGTTCCCTGGACCGGTCCCGGACTGGGTGGTGGAGATGGAGGCGTACCTGAAGGAGCGGGAGCTGCCCTGGAAGGAGCAGAGAAGGTCATGTGAGCCGCAGAGGCCTATTCCACCGATAACACACAAGTACTCCTTCTATTTTTAAGAACTGATCCTTTCTGTCTTTTGTTTCTTTGGAGGAGCAGAAGCAGAGCTGGGATCCCCAGGAGCTGTGTCTCGGTGAAGGGTTAAGTATCACTTTGTAAATGGTTTGTATATTTTTGGATCCTTGTTTGTTCCCCTTTGAAAAAAACAAAAAAACAAAAAAAATATTTTAACACGTTCAGTTTGTTGTTGTTGCCGTTGCACATGTTTTGGATCCACGTTTGATTCCCTTTGAAAAAACCCACAAATTATATTTTTTTATGTTCAGTTTGTTGTCACCGTTGCACATGTTTTGGATCCTTGTTCGATCCCCTTTGAAAAAGTGTTTTTCTAAGATTGTGTGTGGATTGTTGTGTGGTGCATAGCTTCTGTTGCAGGTGTCTTTGCTGTTCAGGGAAACAAGGTGAGTTTTGATGAATGACTTACTTTACTTTAAGGAATCACTCGTTTATTTATTGTTTCTTTTAGTTCTTTTAGACAGAAAGGAGGAAGTGTAAAACATTGAAAATTGCTCAAAGAATATACAGCACAGGTACAGAGGTCTATTGTATCTGCACATGGAGTCCAGGGAATGAATTGATCGTGTTTTGTTTCCGTGAAGTCAGAGAGTCGAGAGGAGGGAGGAGGAGGAGGAGGACGAAGAGGAGGAGGAGGAGGAGGAGGAGGAGGAGGAGGAGGAGGAGGAGGAGGAGGAGGAGGAGGAGGAGGAGGAAGAGGAGGAGGAGGAGGAGGAGGCTAATATCCTTGTTTTCATTTCAAACACAGGTAAATCATCATATGCACTGTTTCCTTTGTCTCTGCTCCCACTTCATAACAAGAGAACCATCTTTCACTTCTTCCTAACTGCCAATGTGTTGAATACAAACCACTTTTATGCAGACCACTGTCACTCAAACCCCAGGGTTCGCCCACAACTTGTTATGTCTGAATGAGGGGAAAGCAAAGGTGATTGTGTTTGGCAACCAGCAGGTGGCAGCAGCTGTCAATGGAATCCACGCTAAAACAAATCATGAACTGTATCAGCTAAAGGCTTGCAGGAAGACAGTCAGAGGTTTGCAGCCACAGCAAACTTCTCAAGTCCCTCTCAGCCGTTTTAAAGGTTCATGTTTTTATCTTTCATTTCTATCTGTATGTTACCCCAGAGCTCTTTATCAGTTCCCATTTGCCCCTTACCTGCAATAGGTCCTGCATGCCCTGAACATGATCACCTGGAGAGGCTGGAACCATGTGTCTCTGTCAAACTAAAGCCCATGATGTAAAGGATGAGGTAATGTGTTTTTCTTTTTTAAGTGCATGCAATGTATTTAGCCCTTTTACCAATATATACCATCCTTCCATAGATGGAATGAGGGGAGGAAATCAAGCTGGGTCCACTTTGGGAGAGTGTTCTTTCTCTCCTCACACTCCTCATGTCCAAATACATGTGAAAGTCAGGTCATCTCTAGGGCCAATCAATCTCTAGTGTTGTGCAGAAAAGATGTCTAACCTGCATTATCTCTTTGTAGCTCGAATCGACATGAACTTAACAATCTAAAGCCACAAATGTGGCAAAGATGTACTATGCTATGCAAAAGATTTCAAAAGGTAAGTTCACAATTGTTTATCAAATTTGGAATGAAATTGTAAAATGAGGGACTTTTTAGGAAGATATAAAATATCTGGTCTTATGGAATTGAAAGTGAAAGTGAATGTGGAGCAACTCTAGTGGAGCAACACTCGCAGTCCCAGATGGAGACACTCCAACGATAAAGGAGAGAAGCCTTTACCAGAGAGCAGGTGTCTTACTGCTAATTTACACATCACGCGTTACAGCACGTACGCGTTATACGCGCAGCAGACGCGCGTAACTTTTTTCCATGTTAACCTATGATGATATTTACACTTCTAGCGTTATACGCGCGTACGATGGACGTATGACGCGAAGCTGCGCTCTAATTTAGGATGGATTTCTAATTTTGTGCGCGCACCAACGCGTCTCCTATTGAAATCTCATGTAAAACATGATTTTTCTAGCGGTCCTTGGCTCTAGATCGCAGTATACGCACACACAGCACTTGTATCTAAACATCAGCTGGAGGAGCAGCAGGTTTTACAATGATTCTGGACATCGTTTTTTTTTCTTTCATAAAGTCTCACGTCTGGCTAAACCAGCACAGAGACCATGAGGACAAACACATGCATGTGATTTGTGTTGCTCTACATCAGTCCTCTGGCCCGTACTGTCCTCTACACTGCTCCATAGACTACAAAGGGAGAGCATCAGAAGACGCGGACCTGCGCACACGGCCTGTGTAGATACTCCAAAAAAATGTTCCGCGCAGAGAGCGCGCAGTAAACGCGTACGCGCTGTTTACGCCTAAGTTCCCCGTTACGGGGGATTTACACAGTAGGCGTAAACAGCGCGTCACATGTCCGTCATACGCGCGTATAACGCTAGAAGTGTAAATATCATCATAGGTTAACATGGAAAAAAGTTACGCGCGTCTGCTGCGCGTATAACGCGTACGTGCTGTAACGCGTGATGTGTAAATTAGCAGTTAGAGTGCAGCTTCGCGTCATATGTCCGTCATACGCGCGTATAACGCTAGAAGTGTAAATATCATCATTTATGTGGAACAAACATGTTAATTCAGCTGATATAGTTGTGCCAAATGCTGTGGAATGCACTGAATGAACTCTTTTCTCTCAACAGAGGCACTCAACAAAACCCTGGCACCAAAGTCCACCCCCTCCAGAAGACCAGAGGCTGAAGCTGTCTTCAGAAAGTGAAAGAACATCTGAGCAGGATCAATGTACGCAAAAGGCCGTATGCAGACTAAAGACAAGGTGTGTACTGAAAGGTTGTGCTGATGAACTCTCTGAAGTCTTCACATTGACATGTTTAACTCATCTCTGCAGCTGTGCTCCCAAAGCACCTCAAAGACACCATCATCATTCCAGCACCAAAGAAGTCCCCACCCTCCAGCTTCAAGGACTCTGCTGCTATCTGCATCAGTATTGATGATGTCACAGCAGTGGGGGACTCCTCAGCCACAGAGACAAGGCAAACTGCAGGAGTGAGGAGTCTGTCCATGTGCTGCACATAGAACCATCTTTTTCTAAATGTGGACAAGACAAAAGACCTTGTTTTGGACTTTCAAAGAGTGCAGGTCCACCATGCTCCTGTAACCATCAACAGTTTCCTGTGGAGAGGGGGACCAGCGCTAAGTTCCTGATATGCACACACACGACCTGTCCTGGACCATGCACACTACATCACTGGTCCACAAAAGTCATCCGCCTCTGGGCTTTCGGCGCAAGTGAGAAGCGTCAGAGTCCCAGTCTCGGTTATGTGCAACTTGTAGAGAGAGACTGGAGAGCATCCTGAGCAGCTCCATCACTGTGTAGCACGGTGCCAGCTCTGCCACCTGCTGCAGGAGCCTCCAGCGCTTTGTGAGAGAAACTGAGAAGATCTGTGGAGCCTCTTTCCTGCATTAGAACACTCCTGTCTCACTCCCAAAGCCCTGAGAATGACCTGGGACCCTACGCACCCACAACAGCCCCTCCAAGTAATGCCTTCAGGAGGAGACTGGGAAATCCACGGGACAGGTCCAGTCGACTGAAGAAGCCTTTTATCCACCAGGCCATCAGGAAGCTGAACTCCCTTCTTTACTTGCCCTCCCTGTGCTCCCACCCCTCACTCCTCACCCCCACTCTATCATCAAGGATGACAAACTTGACAATAAATCTTTAAGTCTCTTAATACTTATATGTTTGTCTTCATGTCAGTGTTTAGGTCAGTGTTTTAGATCAGAAAACATCCATATTTGAACAGAAAATAACATTGAGCCTACATTATCCCACCCTAATCATAAAACACACTTTTACCTTCCAACATTAGAGAAAAGAGCGGAAAAGCCTTTGTCATTGTCAATATAACATACAACAGAGTCTGTAAAACTGTCAGTTGCCATTTATTTGGGTCTATGCATGAACCTGCTCTCGTTTGGGAAGCTGTAAAAATAACATCATATGAGCTTGAAAATCTAAAGAGACACATTTCAAACACACGAAGGAGAGGTTACAGGCCATAATCAAGAAGCTTTTGAGTCCCTTGTTCACAGAAGAACCTTGTTTTTATATATTTTAATAAACCATAAATGTTGTATTTTTGAACTGTATATAGTTATTATTATAAAGTACAAGCAGCTTCTTTCATCTTTATCTGTATTTCAACCATGTCTCAGGTGCTTTCTTCTCTCTGTGTAAACAAGTCAGAGTTTTACTGTAGGTACATTATTTTACATTTAGATTAAGACAAATTGGAAAAGGGTCAATAATGGTGAAGATAAATCCTTGTTTTATGTTTAACCTTAGTACTTCTCTTCTGATAAGTGGAACTATCAACATGAACTATTTCTAAACAATAGGAAAGAACAAATTATTTAAAACAAGAATAGACCAGACACATCCTAATCAAATGTTTATTAAAGTTAGTACTTTAAAAAAAACACACAGGTTTTCATGGACATACAAGTCACGTCCTCTGGATACATATATGGGGGTTTCATTGTTTCATTGTCATAATTCTATGGTATTTGAAAGGGCAAATCCGATCTCATTAATGAAGTTAGGAAGTAAGGAGATAAATGAATCCTGGTTATTGTTTTGGTGCTGACGGTAGCCAGAGAATATAATTTGAGCATGTTCACAGAACTCAAAGTACAGGGAAGGCCGGGGGGCTCTGCTGCTGGAGGAACCCTCTGGCAAAAGACCCCACTGTCTCCTTTTAATGCACAGAATAGGACACGCCCAGATCTGCTGTTCACAGACTGCTCCCTCTGGAGGCCGATCTGTGGACGCAGAGACTCCCTTTGCAAATAACACACATTCAAAATAAAAGCTCGCTCCCATCAGCACCAATGATCAAATTTAACTCACAAATATCACTAGTAATTATTATATTTAATATTAAATATACAATATTTTATAATTTTATAATAGTTTGTGAAAATGGGTATGTTTACCTCTGGGTACTTGGACATTGGCTGCGGGGTACCACAGGGATCGGTTTTAGGTCTAAATTATTCAATTTGTACATCAATTATATATTTAGTGTCTCCAAGTTACTGAAACTAGTTATATTTGCAGTTGACACCAATGTTTTTTATTCAAATGACAGTTATGTTAATTTAGTGTATATACCATTAACATGGAATTAGCCAAATTAAAGACATGGATGGACTTTAACAAATTATCCATAAACTTAAACAAAACAAAGATTATGTTTTTCAGTAAATACAAAAGCAACCTAGGCCCGGTTATACATAGAGATGGGGTGGCTTTAGACACCGTAACAGAGATGAAATTCTTAGGAGTTACTATTGACAACACATTAAGCTGGAAACGACACATAAAACAATTGAGGTATGTCGACCTGAATATGTGCAAACCCTAATAAGTGAGCCAACGTCTAAGCATTGGTCTAAACTGGCAGTTTTGACTCTTTGTGAGGTCATTATTTTCAATCGAAGAAGGGAAGGTGAGGTTTCAAAGATGCCACTGACAGCGTTTACCTTAAGAAGTAAGACTGGGATCCATTCTGACATGGCTCTGGGACTGTCCGAACTTGAGAAAAAGCTGTGTCAGCATTTTCAACGCATTGAAATTAAAGGGAAAAGAAGTCGGAAAGTGCCGGTTCTTTTGACTCCTGAAATGATTGCTTGGATGGAGGTGCTGGTGGAGAACAGAAGGGCCTGTTCCATCTCTGACCATAACCCATACTTCTTCTCCCGCCCGGGCGCAGACACCCACATCAGGGGATCAGACTCCCTACGCCAGGTAGCCAAAGAATGTGGTGCGGTGCATCCAGAGATGCTATCCTCAACCAAACTTAGAAAGCACATAGCTACTATGTCTACAGTTCTCAATATGAAAGAGAATGAAATGGACATACTAGCCAACTTCCTCGGCCATGACATTCGCATCCACAGACAATATTACAGACTACCAGAGGGGACACTGGAGCTGGCCAAAATCAGCAAAGTGTTGATGGCCATGGAGCAGGGAAGAGTGACGGAAGCCTCGACCAGATACAAATTGAGCCTGAAGGTAATTCTTGATATTATTAAAATATGTATGATTTTTTTCCCCTAAAGGCCACTTGTATTTTTATTTTCTGTGCGACAGGGAGAGCAGTAGAGTGTCACAATGCAGATATTTGGACCCAAGAGCAGACAGAGTCTGAAAGTTTTAACAACTTTAATAATCAGATGTGCAG